CAAGCCGAGGCTTCTGCGGTGACCCATGGGGGGGTCTTTTTTGGCCTGAAAGATTGCACTGCAGCACCTGAACGATTCAGGCTGGTTTTCTCTGCCTGTGGACAAAATTCTCTCGCTTATGGTCCAGTAAATCTTGGTCTTCAAATTCATTAACAGGAGAGAGTATGTCAAACCCTGAACCCACCTCGACTACAGATGACAGTAAGCTGACAGGACACGGCCAGCAGTCCGGAGACCGAGGGGGAAAAGCAGGTGCTGGAAGGGTTCTGAGGCTGTCTCTCTCTCAGCAGGCAGATCTATCCCCCGGCTTTCTAAGTTGCAAACTGCAGAGAAAATAAGAGCAATATCTGCTTTGCAGAGTGTTTTTTAAGCTTTTCTTTCAGCTGAAACACGCATTTTGCATAGCGTGTAACACGCCTCACATCGTGCCCGCTTAACAACAATCAGCTTGTATTTGTGTGCCCTCTGGCAGGTTCTGTGCGCTGCCACCACCACAGCAAAGGCACTGCCATTAGCTGGGCTGTACATTTTTAAGAAAATATTGTCATTCGTGCTCGTTCCCCCTGCACCACCCCCCAATTTAAATCTGCTGTCAGGAAGTGCCCACTTTTAGGCTTCAGACACGCGGCCGGCCTTCGGTGAACGACAGCAGAGGTGTCCCCTGCGCCGGAGACACGCTCACCGGCGGGCGTTCAGGAAAACGGGTGTCACGTCGACACGTGGTAAGAGTTACGTAGGTGAGAAAACAGAGATTTCAAATTAAAATGCTACCAGAGAACCCATCCCAAAGGAAACAGCTAAATCACCCGACGTTGTAGGCTAATTTTGAAAATGGCGCATGACAATTTCCGAGCACAACTGCCTGTTGCTCAGGCAATGGAAGGCTGCGTTCCAGCGGTTACCAGTTAGGTATTTTCTTCCTCCAGTAACATTCCTGCCACTAAAAATGCACTGTTCAGCTCCCACGCCTGGGCCCACGGCCCCTTAAAGCGTGAATTGTCACCGATGGTCAGGTAACATTGTTAGACCCAAGCGGACTGCGAAACCACTTGCTTTAAACGCCGCTGTCACAGATTAATCACATTGGGCAAAAGACAGTTTGTCACTAGTAAGAAAGCCAAGCTAACCAAAGTTTGCCCGATTTTATAAATCCTCTGGTGTTTTACATTTTAACTACAGTCTAAGAGACCAACTATATTTGGTCAGATGCTGCCCATATTTTAACAACAGCCTTCCACCCTGAATCCTTCCTTGGTTTGGAACAAATGTCGCATCTCTATTTATTACTTTGGGGAAAAGGATGGTTGAGACGCTAGGGATCCATTCATCTTGTTTAACCAGTAATTTCCCTGGCAATTACAGCTGAACAATAAAGCAAATGTAAACTCTGTCAGTTCTTGGGAAAAAGGGTACTTTGGTCGTATGTTAGTAGCATAGAATAATACTCATTTTGGCAACTTGAAGTAAGTTTGCAGTGACTTTTCCGTTGCACTACAGATTAGTCATTTGTACTGGGTCTGGATAAGCAGATTCCAAAGAGGAAAAAATAAAAAAATCCCCACTAGGAGGGAAATGAAATGAGGCTTCGTCCTGTTTGGTGTGGAGTTTTAACGACATGGCAGAACTCTCCAGTGTTCGGGGGAACTCTGAAATTCATAAATGATTACTACAGGCATGTAATTACCCCCTTTCAGCACATGGAGCGGAACTCATCTCACTGACGTCTGTGACAAGAGACCTGGGCTCTCGCTACAGCCAATGGGGACATTTTTAGGGTAAAAGGCCTATCTATACTAAGGTTCTCTCTCATTCAACATACTTGGTTGGATGACTCCCACCTTTATTTCCTGAGGCGGAAAGGAAAATTAACATCCACGTACAAGAGAGTATTACGAATGTCTTAAACCACCAACAGCTGAAACTTCCTGCAGGTGCACTGCCTGCCCTCATTTCACAATCTG